CCGGCTTGTGGAAAATAAGAGTATTGTTCTTAATTTTGTATGATATTATGACGGCAAATCAGATAATTTGTAGTAGTAAATTTTTTTTTTTTGATCTACAAATTTCACTTATGCGTCTTCATACGTGATAAAACCACCAAATGCCTCAAATTTATGACTATCACTGGTCTTTATATGCTTTGAAAAATAATCAGATTTTCTCCTATAGTCATGAGAGTCAAAATTTTAACATTAAAATAAATCGGATAATTAGAAATAAATTAAGAATAAGTTGTACCATATTTTTACATGAAAGGATGATTGTAAAATGTGCAGGATATCCTAAGAAAAAAAGCTTATCTTATTATCATTACTGAATTCAACCGCTTAACTAATGCATAGTATTTAATTAAAGTCTCAGATAGCTACCGTATAGCCGCGAAATAACGCACCCCTGCGCGTTATTTTATTCACCTGCGCGTTATTTCGGGACGCCCATGTGCGTTATTTCGAAACAAAAGATTGATTTTCCAAAACGGGTGGTTTCAAAATAACGCACATGGGCGCAGTGCTTATGCGAACAACTAATTAATTAATTATATAATATCGGTGTAAAAGCCTGATTTAGATGTCAATAACGATATGCAAAAAGGCGTTACTTAAAATTAATCTTCATATGCATTGATACCTTATATATACCCAGCCTTCTGATCTGCAACGCCTACTAGCCAAATTAGACACGACTAAAAATTGATAGGCATATATAAACGAAAAAAAATTTTCTTTTAAAACCTCGAATCAATAAAATTGAACGAATGTAAAATCTATTCTGAATCGCGAAAGGAATTTGAAAGGATAATAGCACACAGAATGCTAAATACTATTAAAAAACAAAAAAAAAAAAAAAAACAGTTTTATTATAATACCTTACTCTATGCCGTGATGGCTCCAACCACTAGATTAAATTTCATCACGATTTTTCAATTTTAATTTTTTTAAAACCTGAAATCGTGCAAAAAAATTTTTTTTTTTAAAAATTTTTTTTTTTTTTTAAAAAAAAAAAAAATTTTAAATAATATTGTAACACATGATAAAGTACCCTGACGTGTTTGCTGTATACCTTTAAATCAACAAGCAGATTTTGTTTAATTTTTACTTCACCTAATGGACGCGAACAAAAAACGAAGCTACACCGTCTTATTTAAGCTAGAGGTAATATCATATGCAGAATCCTCATCCAACTATCATGCGTCATTGTTTTTTAAGATTGATCGTAGGCAGGTTCAGGAGTGGAGGCAGCAAAAGCTGGAGCTTGAAGCCATTAAAAACAACCAGAACCTAAATATAAACCAGGTGCGGGTACTTGATGGTCATGGTAGGAAAGCCAAATACCCTGATTTAGAAAAAGAACTAGTGGATTATATTAAAAAAAAACGGGAAGAAAAGATTCCTGTTACAACCCACATGATAGAAAAAAAGGCAAAGGAATTAAAGAAAAGCCTAAACATTGAAGCCAAGTGTTCTCGTGGCTGGATTAAATGTTTCAGAAAACGGCATAATTTAGTAGAACGTGCTCGAACGCAAACTGCTCAAAAGTTCCCTGAAGACATGCCATTGGTCATTAGTAGATTTCTTCAAATTTCACACAAAGCAACAAAAAACATTGAAAAAAATTTATCATCTTTTTTGACGAAACACCGATCTGATTTGACATGCCCCGAAGTTCAACGTTCGATTTTTAAGGTGTTCGTGATGTAGTGATCAGAAGCACTGGAAATGATAAACTATGTTTTACAGTAGTGTTAGGTTTTATAGCTTCTGGAGAAAAGCTTCCCCCAGCAGTAATCTTTAAATTAAAAAAAAAGCCAAAAGGAAAATTTCTATGAGAAATTGTTTTAGCAACGGCACCCTGCGCGAACATGCGAGCGGACCTGATGATCTCCACTTATATTCCAAAAGTTATTCGAGCAAGGCTAGAAGGGTTTTTCAAAAGCAAAGGTATAATTTTTGTTGATAGACATCGTAGTCACGTACAAGATGATGTAGTTAAAGCATTGAACAGGGAAGGCTTGGATGTCTTAGAAATACCCAGCAGTACAACTTGCATTTTGCAACCACTAGACGTTTCAGTAAATAGACCTTTTAAAAATGGAATTAGAAAAAGATGAGATGAATAGATTGATGAAGGGGAAAGAGAGTTTACTGCAAAAGGAAACCGTAAGAAAGCATCATACGAGTTGATTTGCAAATGGGTATCCGATCCATGGAAAGGAATTAGTACAAGCCTTTTGGCTAAATCTTTTGAAGCATCCGGGCTTGTACTCAACTCTGATGGTAGCGAAGACCATAAAATGTCGAACCATCTCCAAGCTATTGTCAATAATCGTATGGATGAGGCTAATATGGATGAATTGTGTGAAGATGAAAATGAATTAGGTGTTGAAAATTTACCGGATGATGAGAACGATGAGGATGATAGCAATAATGAGGACAATGTGAGCAATAATAGTAATTTGACAAATAGTGAGGATGATGAGAGTGCAATGGATATCGATGAAGCAATGTAAATTGATAGGTTAGTAAGTAAAGCCTTTTTTTATTATTATTATTATTAGTATTTTTGTTCTGCTTATCTAACTTTAAGCAACGGTTCTTAACCGCTTATTAATGATTACATAACCATAATTTTTTTTTTAATCAGCGGTAAAATTTATATTCAATTCTGAACCTAAAGACACACGATTCAAGGCTCAGTCAGCTAAAATAATAGAAATAAATTAGCAAAAAAAAAAAAAAATGAAAAAAAAAAAAAATGCAAACTTATCATTTCCAGTTCTAATGCCAAAAAGGATTCAATAGATTTAGTATAAATTTGTTGAACTTTCTCATAACAGACTAAAGTGTATATTGAAAGACTTATTTGGTCACAATTTATATAATAATAAACCGGGCCACTAACATCTACACAAACTAAAAAATCTGATGTGTTATTAATACGAAATATTTAACATTTCATATACAAAACTATAAAAAAGGCGTCTTAAATGAGTGCTAGAGTAAGAAGTTAAAAGTACTATCACGATTAGAATCACTTTTATAGTAAACTAACTGATTTATCACGTGATTTGGCTCATGATTAGTGGGTGCGTGTTATTTCAGGACGCACATGTGCGTTATTTCGATTCAAATTTAGCATTTTTAAAGGAGGTCAAATTTCAAAATAATGCCTATGTGCGTTATTTCGCGGCTATACATTAAGCAAGAATATGCTAAAAGCAATCCAAGTTCATAGCCATTAAACCAAATCAAGCACGAAATGATCTAACAACCATAGGTGAGTACATGAAGTATTGTTTAATTAACTACATAATTTAAAAGTATTATGGAATTAACTAATATAACATGCTACAAGCAACAACATCACTTATTATATAAAATCTTACTATTTTGTGTTAAACTTCATATCTTAAACTGATGATGCGATATCCGACATAATTATATTACTATTTCTGAGAGTATATTCCGTCTCAGTTTATACATCGATTGCTTGATGTATCCAAATAGTAATACATACCACATATATGCAATACTTTTCAAATAAATCACATCATTTCAATTTCTTTGTATTAGTTTGTTAGAGTATATCAAACACATTGTTTAAAAATAAATTATTAATTAAAGTATTTAATAAAAGGTATCTTAAAAGACATATTATTAGCTTTTATTTAATTTATTTCTTATTTATATAATATAGTCAGTCAGGGATGGTAAATGACCTGAAATGACCCAAATGATCCAAATGACTAGTGACCGGTCATTGGGTCATTTTACATTCAAATGACCCATAGAAGGTTATTTAACCTTGTTAACTGATAATTTAATGCCTTTTAGCCAATCAAAATTAATTATTAGACAAAAAGTAGTTTTTATA